GACCGTTACAGTATATAATGTCTTTGTGAATGAAGGCTGTTATAGAGATGGTGCATCAATCTGTGGGTAAGAGGATCTGGAAGGTGTGGTTTATATCATTCTGAACACCGATGATTCGTAACAGATGTTGACATTTTTTGCATTTCTTACATTGGTGCAGCCATCTGCAGCAAAAAAGTAAAGTCTCCTGCCTTCCTTGTTTAACGGGAATGAGGAGATTTTTTAAATTATTCTGTAAACAACTACATGTATCCCTCATGACAACAAGCACAAGAGGAAAACGTGAACTTACTTGTGGAGTCTCTACAGAAACAATAATATCCTTAAAGACAGGAACCAAACTAGCCTTGTACAATTTCCTACCAAGTCCTTAAAGAAAAAATTATACCTGTTTATTTTTGTTTTGAAGGGATTCCCTCACATATCCAAAGTCCCCTGTCTTATCTACAGTCTAATCACCCGTGATGATTGTTTAACCAAATGTCACACTTGAGAAACTTTATGATTTGTCCCAGACTTCATGTTTAACTCTCTGTCAACCTGACAAAATGCAGGTTCACAGCCCTGTCCTCACACCTATGGATGACTAATCTACTAGCACATGGAGAGAAAGTGAGAATGTGATCTGGTTTTGTGCCCTTGGATAAAATAAAAAACTAAAATAAACTCTCACTGTCTTACACTGAATATTTAGCCAGGTAGGCAGTGAGCCTGATCATCATGACTATCAGTCCTTAAACCCTGGTTGGTAAATGTCTGTGACTAAAGATTGAAGTGTATGAGTATTAATGACTGTGTCTGGATGTATTATTATATCTTTGCAGTTTCTGCTTTTACCTTGCTATCATCCAAACACACATTAAATAGTAACCATTAAAAATAAACTGGTAAAAGAAATAGGAGAGTAAGATTTGAGGTTATTTTGGAAAATACATGATGTATATGACTCTCACTGTAATTTGGGATGCAGGTGAAGTGAAGCATTAACCCATCATCCAAGGATGGAAGTAAATTTGCTTTTCTGAATGCATCACACGATCGTTCTAATCTTGATAAAGGAGCTGAAAGAAGAGCTAAGTGGTGAGTGTCACAGACATCATCATCATCATCTTGATTACAGATTTATACCACTGCCTGGAGGTATTAATATTTGATTACTTCAGAGCCTCAGACAACAGGGTCTTGAATTTAATGACAGGAGCCACTGGCGGTACATACAGGTGTAAAATTACTATGCACTGCTGTACATCGAACACTGTTAAGGGGTGAAAGGAGTGCTTAGGAGAAAGCTGGAAGGAAACTGCAGTAGTTGTCTTTTTCCTCAATGTTCTTTGAGGTATGATTCTCTGAATGGTGAAGTCTCGGTAGGGTGGTAGTTTGAGAAAAAAGTAATCCTTTAATAGAGTAACTTTTATCAGCAGTGTGATCTTATACAGTGGCAATTATGGGAAATGGCCTGTATTTGTATAGTCCCTAAGGACCCCAAAAGCCATTCACACACTGGTGATGGCAAGCTACATTGTAGCCACAGCCTGGGCGAGGCGAGGCTGCTGGACACTGGCGCCACCGGGCCCTCTGACCACCACCAGTAGGCAACGGGTGAAGTGTCTTACCCAAGGACACAATGACCAAGACTGTCCAAGCCGGGGCTCGAACCGGCAACCTTCCGATTACAAGACGAACTCCCAACTCGTGAGCCATGTGAGCCATTAGATACAGTGGGGCAAAAAAGTATTTAGTGAGCCACCGATTGTGCAAGTTCCCCCACCTAAAATGATGACAGAGGTCAGTAATTTGCACCAGAGGTACACTTCAACTGTGAGAGACAGAATGTGAAAAAAAAATCCATGAATTCACATGGTAGGATTTGTAAAGAATTTATTCGTAAATTAGGGTGGAAAATAAGTATTTGGTCACCTCAAACAAGGAAAATCTCTGGCTCTCACAGACCTGTAACGTCTTCTGTAAGAAGCTTTTCTGTCCCCCACTCGTTACCTGTATGAATGGCACCTGTTTGAACTCATCATCTGTATAAAAGACACCTGTCCACAGCCTCAAACAGTCAGACTCCAAACTCCGCCATGACCAAACCCAAAGAGCTTTCGAAGGACACCAGGAAAAGTATTGTAGACCTGCACCAGACTGGGAAGAGTGAATCTACAATAGGCAAGCAGCTTGGTGTGAAAAAATCAACTGTGGGAACAATCATCAGAAAATGGAAGACATACAAGACCACTGATAATCTCCCTCGATCTGGGGCTCCACGCAAGATCTCATCCCGTGGGGTCAAAATGATCATGAGAACGGTGAGCAAAGATCCCAGAACCACACGGGGGGACCTGGTGAATGACCTGCAGAGAGCTGGGACCAAAGTAACAAAGGTCACCATCAGTAACACACTACAACGGCAGGGAATCAAATCCCGCAGTGCCAGACGTGTCCCGCTGCTGAAGCCAGTGCATGTCCAGGCCCGTCTGAAGTTTGCCAGAGAGCACATGGATGATACAGCAGAGGATTGGGAGAATGTCATGTGGTCAGATGAAACCAAAGTAGAACTTTTTGGTATAAACTCAACTCGCCGTGTTTGGAGGAAGAAGAATACTGAGTTGCATCCCAAGAACACCATACCTACTGTGAAGCATGGGGGTGGAAACATCATGCTATGGGGCTGTTTTTCTGCCAAGGGGACAGGACGACTGATCCGTGTTAAGGACAGAATGAATGGGGCCATGTATCGTGAGATTTTGAGCCAAAACCTCCTTCCATCAGTGAGAACTTTGAAGATGAAACGAGGCTGGGTCTTCCAACATGACAATGATCCAAAACACACCGCCCGGGCAACAAAGGAGTGGCTCCGTAAGAAGCATTTGAAAGTCCTGGAGTGGCCTAGCCAGTCTCCAGACCTCAACCCCATAGAAAATCTGTGGCGGGAGTTGAAAGTCCGTGTTGCTCGGCGACAGCCCCAAAACATCACTGCTCTCGAGAAGATCTGCATGGAGGAGTGGGCCAAAATACCAGCTACTGTGTGTGCAAACCTGGTAAAGACCTATAGTAAACGTTTGACCTCTGTTATTGCCAACAAAGGTTATGTTACAAAGTATTGAGTTGTATTTTTGTTATTGACCAAATACTTATTTTCCACCCTGATTTACGAATAAATTCTTTACAAATCCTACCATGTGGATTCATGGATTTTTTTTTTTTCACATTCTGTCTCTCACAGTTGAAGTGTACCTCTGGTGCAAATTACTGACCTCTGTCATCATTTTAGGTGGGGGAACTTGCATAATCGGTGGCTGACTGAATACTTTTTTGCCCCACTGTATGCCTTCTAATTTGGTAAATGTTAAATTACTGTCTCCTAATCTAATTATTACAAACCTTCAAATTGTACACTAACAGGTGAAAGAGAAATTAGTCACCAACTCGGAGATTGTCTTTTCTCATAGACTTAAATATCTGCCTAGTCTACAGAAATCTAAGGAGATAAGGCAATACAGTTCCACAGTAAATTAGTACAGCTCTGAAACATCGTCTTCCAAAAGCTGCTTCAAGTTCAGATATTTGCAAAAATTTCCACCATTGTGGAAAGTTTAACAGCGAGAAGCTGAGTGAAAGTTATAATTGATCTTAAATGATCTACTTTAAGTTGGGCCTCTAAAATATACACTCACTTTGTTACATACAACCATTCAACTGAAGATGAATGCAAGTATGTATGAGTCAACACACAGCAGCACATTTAGGCTTGACATAGTTAAAACAACCTTAACAAAACTGAAAGCAGATGGGCTACAGCAGCAGCAGATCACAGGCAAGGCAAGGCAAGTTTATTTGTATAGCACAATTCAACAACAAGGTGATTCAAAGTGCTTTACAGAGACATTAGAAACAAGAACAAATAAAAAGCATGATTTAAAATTGATTAAAACAAGCAAATAAACTAACTAACTAATTAACAAACAAACAAACAAACAAACAACAGTATATAAAATCAAAACAGATAAAATCAGAACAGTAGATAAAATCAGTAGTTTAATGTAAGTTTTGAAATTTAAGCTTAAAGTGTGGATTTGGTGCTTTATTCAAATGCAGCTGAGAACAGGTGAGTCTTCAACCTGGATTTAAATAAACTGAGTGTTTCAGCTGATCTGACACTAGGTATCACTCCAGTCACCTAAAAATAGGAAACTGAGGCTGTAATTCAAGTCTGGATTTCCGATTTCCATGTGGATGACAGTCAGAATTTGGGCTTTAACAATATGAAAGCATGGATCCCTCATATTTTGTATTAAAGGTTCAGGCTGCTGGTGGTGTAATGACATGGGATAAATTTTCTCTGCACACTTTGGACGCCTTAGTACAAGGCAAGCACCATTTAAATACCACAGCCTACCTAAGCATTGTTGACTATACAACCAAATTATGAGAACAGTGCACACAGATACCGAAGGCTGCTTTTAGCAGGTAACGCACCCTTGACACAAAGCTCCTGTCACCTCAGACTGTTTTTTAAAAATTACAATCAGTTCACTCATTTGGCCTCCAGTTACCAACAGAGCACCTCTGGATTGTGGAGGAACAGGAGATTCACATCATTGATGTGCAGCTGACAAATCTGTGTCAAAAATCTCTGAGCACCTTGTTGAGTATTTGCCACAAAGAATGAAAGCAGCTCTGAGTGCAAAAAGGAGTCCAAACCAATGCTATCAAGGCTTTTCGAGTGTAAACAGGATGTGCAAAAGAAATTTTTTACAAAGTTAAAATCTCAACTTCCCTTTCTAGCAATATATTTACATATGGCTGCACGGAGGAAAGAAAATACATGAAGGCTATGAGAACGCTGCACTTGTCTTCTTGTTTTCTGTATATTTCACTTTCAATACCAAATATTGTCTATTTACTTTTAATCTTTTTTTTTTACTTTTAAACTAAAATGAGAAAGACCATGTTCATGCCAAAATGGGAAAAAAATCTAAATAACACACACTTCATAAGACTTAAATTAAAACTTTATTTTCAGACACAAAATGTAGTTTGAATTATCATTAGACGTTACTTGGCACTAGTCTGGTGTTTAATACAGCACATTCTGTAATTGTTTTTACCACATTAGTCGTTTTTGTTGTCATACAAAATTTTAAAAAAGTCAGTACAAAAAAAAGTGGTGCCGCAATTGATACATGGCAGCTTCTCAGTTAAAAAACACCCCAAACATACACACACAGACTTTATAACCAATAACCACAATTTGAAAGAGAAAGTTACATTAATAAAATCCTAGAAGTATACATTCTTCTTATGATCCTCCCCTCACAGTAAAACCAAACAGTTTAAGGCCCCTTCGGTCACAAAGTGAAAAATGATTGGATCATAGATCTCTTTCCTAACCAACAACAACCCTTTGAATCATGGTGTCATATTAGCATTTCATAGTGTTCAAGCACAGTGTCTCCACTGTGATTCACATGCTAAAGATAAGTAAACCCTTTATAGAAATAGAGTAAAGAAGACCCTGTGTCTGCTGTTCTCACTGTACCAATAACGACAAACTCACCATAAACATGAATCCCCAAACTAACCATCAGGTTTTTACAAGGCACTGAAATAAAAAAAAAATCCCCTGAGTATGATGCTGTATGCTACATCACCTTTCTCCTTATGTTACAGTAGTGTTTCAAGATGGACATTTAACTATTTCTGCTTTTCCCCCACTGTATTCTCAGCTTTTCCAGCAGGAAGACACAAAAGTCAGTGTGTCTAATGTAAACACACTACAACCACAACACAGTCGATGTGACCCGCTCATCCTGACATGTAGGAGTAGCGGACAATATGTGTTACCAGTGCTTTAGTTTAGTGGTATTTACACTTGAGTAAGAAAGATGTGTTGCAAGTTGTGTGAATATACATGTGTATTAGTCTCCCTCCTGTCTGTAGTGAATGACATAGTAGTCGTGGACGTACATGAGGACAGCAAACGGCTGACCGATAATGATGGAAATCCAAACTGCAGCGTTGCCGTAGTTACCACGCAGGAAACAGCCAACGAACCAGGCTAACGGAAGCTGGTGAGCGAATAAAACATCATTAAAAAAAGCCCACAAGGAGTAATCATGACATATCACTAATGACAGCCCTAATTAACCTAACTCTAATTTATTTAACTTCTTATTTCTTTTTGTTTGTAAATATTAAACCCAGAGAGACAGCCCATGATAGCCGATTATCATTGGTACATCAAACATCCCCCGCTACATTAATAAGGCTATTTATTAAGTTAATTATTTCGGGGTCAAACACTGACAACACCGCAAGATGTCCATCAACAGTTCAAAGAAATATCATAAAAACGTCTGTATTTTGACCCTCTGTATGACTTAGTTATATACAATGATGACATCTGGTCTCCATATAGCTTTGTTTTTCTTTTAGCATTTTTAAACACTGAGCAGGAATTCGCACCCATGTTACATTAAAAATTTCAGTACACGGCAGTTTGTGTCAACTGTAGCTGTATATTTATCGTCTTACCTGTGCCATCATGCCCATAAAAGCCCATAACCTGAACATCCTGAGGGGAACACTCACTAAGTACTGGCAGATAGGGAAACACACAGGGAAAGAAATCAGATCAGAATCATCAATATTCAGCTATAATTTCTAGAAATATGCTTGACAACTTGCACCACACTGATAAAGAGGTACAACACTGTGTACATTGTATTTTGTCCAGGTCAACGTGCGGCCATGTAAGAAAGAATGTTTTTCACAGCACTGTATGCAATCCTGTGAAAAACAAAACACACCCAATGATTCATAACTTGAAGCAGATAATTTCTGTAGGACTTTATCAGTCATGGAGGCATTTTGAGCCACACTTATTTACAACATTGTTTCAGTTCATTGAGGTCTGGACTTTGACACCTTCATTCATTTCTTTTTCAGCCATTCTGTTGTAGATTTGCTGCTGTGCTTGGGACCATTGTCCTGTTGCATGACCCAGACACTGGTCACGGTCAGGTCACTGAATGCAAGCGCTCATGTCCTGTGGCTGCAAAACAAGCCCAAATCATCACCCCTCCACCACTGTGCTTTATATTTAGTATGAAGAGTTTGTGCTGATATGCTGTGTTCTTGTTCTGGTCACTTTGGTCTCATCTGTCTAAACAACATTGTTCCAAAAGTTTTGTGGTCTGAACCACAAAACTTCTGTAATGTCCTGAACATCAGTAAATGCTCCGGATGAGCGAAGAGGAAAAATTTCTGCTCTCATAGAGGTGCTAACACTTCTTTACTAGTTAACCAATCAGTGCATTTGATTAGCAGCACCTGGTTGCTACTTTTTTCCCTTTTTGAATGACAGTGAAAGCTCAGCAGAAAAAGCAGTTCAGGTCTCTATTCTTACCTCATGGAAAAAGGCTGACAAGAAGAAGACAGCTGATTGGCTGAACATTTTGCTGAATCCTCTCCTCAGAAGCGGCTTGTAAAAGTGGCTGCAAGACACAGAAGAACAGATATAAAAATGTGTGAATACCTACATTCAAATCAGAGAGATTATTCTGAGAACAAATTATACTTTTTCAGTAAACTAGAATTTGTTTACCGTGTGTACTACAGTAGACCTGCTGTAATTCTGTCTCTCTAAGAGAAAATACACTTTAGAAAGCACCGCGTTCACTTCATCTTGTTTAATAGAAATGTATTTGCTCCTGTTGCTGTATTTACCACCGCTGCTTATTCAATTATAGCCAGATGAATCCACTTCCTAAATACATCGGTGTGCCTTGTTAAGCGCATCCCGCTGCATCAAATTCACCGCCGTCTCCTGTGCCGAGTCCTATAATTTAATTCCTCCCTTCTAATGTCCTACTGTGTGAATAATTCACTTTACCGTAGACACCACTTGTGCACTGGGATGTTCCAGTTCTGCCAGAAATATGTCACCGACTCCGAATTCCTATAAAAAAAATAAAATAATAATAAAAAGCCATCAAACAGTGTGCTGGATTACAGCCTCTAAATAATGAATTTAAAGCAGCTTGATTAATATTGATAGACATAAGGAAATCTGTTTTCATGAGAAAGGAGGAAATAAAAGCAATTATTCCACAGTCCACTGACTGACACCTATTTACAAATATTAGAAATACACAAACTGATTCATAAGTTTACTGCTTTGATTATACAAATGGCATTGATATAAACCAAATACATTCATGAGAATGCACATAAATCCGCTCTCTTATGCACACATGCAGTTATTAGCGCATGGAGCTACTCTGAAAAAGTGTTTGAGCACAGTCCACCACACCTCATAAAAATCACAAACAACACAGACAAAAACTTACCACCAGTCTTTGTAAAACTGTCTGTCACCAAAGCGCAGCAGCTCAGCTGTGAAGTTCAAAGATGAGTGGAAGAACCAATAGAAAAACATCAGCCAAAGCAAGTGATTAGGAACCTGGAAAGACAAGTTCAAGTCTCGTGAACAAGAACAACACATGACCCTCACCCAACATGCTGCTGCATGCTCAGTATACGCAGTAACTGTTTACAGCTTAAATATAAATTGGCATATGCGCGCACACTACATGCATGTATTTGCTTTAATGATGACTGAGAAGTTGCACTACAGTTGTAGCATGATCTCTGGTCATAAATAAACTGTAGCTTTATACTGCAAGTCCAAAACACTGACAAGTACAAGAACTGGAAATTAACAGTTCTGATCTCTTGCTTCACATTTTTATCAAAACTGGAGCTCTGTTTTGATGTCACGGTGCTTAACGTTATAGTGTTTACGCACAGCCAGTCGCAGGAGTCTCTCAGTCATCCTGGACAGATCCATGTCCTACAGGAGAGAAAACACGAGGCGTGAATTGACAAACACACAGTAAAGGTCGTTACACACCAAGCACATTCCTAAAAAGTGAGAAGAAATTCATGCATTTTTAAATCCGACCTTGTTGCATAACTTCAATTTCATGCAATTATCACGAGAATGCAGCAGCAAGGAGGATTTCCTCCACTGAGCCGACTGATCTGGAACGTTGTCTGAGGTAAAAATAATAATATATTATAGTTTACTATTTACATGTTTTTGTAAATTCAACACTTGTGGGAGCTTTGAGCCTAGAGCGCACTTGTTGCCAAATGCTGTGGTCTGATTGGTCAGATCTGAGCGGAAAATTGAGCTTGGTTGCAAATAAGGTTGAAAATTTGCAAAATTATGCAGCTGGTGTGAACGTTACAGAATTTATTTTTAAGGCACAAAATACTTGAACAGATTTTACACATCTGGTTTAAAACCACTTCACCCTTGTAGCGTCTGTCTCATTTTGCCTGACTTACCTCTAGTGGTTTCATTGAGCTCTGAATGATGGGAATCATCCACTGACAGAAAGAGAAAAAAATATTCAAGCTACTTTAAGACATGAGCTGCAATGTACACATTTTAAACGGTGATGTTTAGGTTTATCCGACTGTACCTGCTGAGTGAGTCCAACTAACAGCTGGGTGAAAAAAAGCTGAGGAGAAAGGCACAAATTGATAGAGTGACATTATTTCAGTGATATAAATGGCCTTTTTTCAGTTCCACTCTTAAAGGATGCACCTGTTTGTGTGACATGTTGGGATTGTGCCCTGTGTTGTTGATCAAACTTGTACATACACTGCATCGTATCCATAACCCAATATTTCTGCAGAAATATGCCACCTTTATACTGTGATCTAGCACTTAAGCACTTTTAGGTGATACTTCTAATCGTCTGAGTGTGTGTCTGTGCTTACTTTGAACACACAGCTACACTAAAGGTGTTTAATGGGTGATGCTGACATGAGATATTTCCTCACCATCTCAAAGAGTCTCCTTAGCAGGAAGCTCATGCGAATGTTTGGAGAGCGGGGGAAGTTGAGCTCATAGCACAGAGTTGGCGCAAAGATGAAGTAGTACATGTCTACAGAGGTGGAGAGAAAGTCAGTGTGTTAACCAGAACATGTGACACAGTAAAACAGAAACAGTGGTGCATCACAGAAACACGATCAACTCACATCCCAGCAAACAGTAATGATAATAAAAGCTCTGAGTACCTCGGAGGGTGAGGTTGCCAGGATAGCACACTTTGCGTTCACCTTCATAGAAACGCTGTTCTGACGGGCCTGTACCAGACATAAATAAAATTTACACCATTCATGTAAGTTTCATCAGAAAGCTGTGATGTCAACTATCTGCCAGTAGATGCCACCATAACAGCACGAGCGATATACTGAAACCTCTTTCTGGGTAGAAACTAAATCACATTAAAAGCCATTTCGAGTATAAAAACAAAATGATAATGTATATTGCTTACTTTCTTATGATGTCAGTGAGTGTAAAATATAAATCTAAATAAGCATGCGTATGTGTGACTTACAAGACAGTGACCTGGACAGTTTCTTTGCCTTCATAGTGCTCAGCTCTCTGCACCACAAGTTGACATCCTTATAGGAGTACAGTTTAAGTAAGATAATGGTGTAAGTACCAAGTACGAATAAACCACCAACTGTCATGGGGAGAGGGAGAAAAAGAGGTAAGGATTAGCACTGTGGATAAACTAATGCAGAAACATGTAATTAGCTCATATGTGATCTAAGAAGAAGATGAGGAGGAAGATATGAGGGGATGCTAACAGTAAGGAAAAATTAGCGAAGAAGAATGGATGAGGACATAAAAACTAAAAGAACAATGCGAGGAAAAACAAAATAATGGGATGTACGTTAGAAGCAGAGCCAGGGACAGGATGGAAAACAGAGCAGAGAGGTAGGAGAGTGAAAAAGGAAAGGAGACAGACAATGAGAGGCTGTCATTTGATCTGGAACAAACAGCTGAATAAATCATCTCAACACAAAGTATAAAAGCAGTCTAACTATGCCAAGGACATTATTACATAGTCACCATGTTGTTGTTGTTTTTTTGAGAGAATGTGCACTCAGAAACCCGTGCCAAAGTTTGTGCTAATTGGCCAATGAGGAAAAGCTGATTTGAAAGGAGATCAATAAACATATTTAGTAAATTGCAAGCGCACGCTTACACCAGCTTGCCTACCAGGGCTTTATCAATAGTCACCATATGCTTGATAGAAAGGGATCAAGCCGGACAGAGAACAAACACGCACACGTATACGTGCACAAACACTCAGAAACGCACAAACAAAAACTGCCTGTTGTGCCAGCAGGGTGAGGAGGAGGTCAGCACACCTGGCAGCAAACCATACCAGATCTTATCCATTAACCATCTGTCTCTCTGGCTCAGTGTGGCTCCTAAACTGCTAGATTTTCTTCAAGACAGTGACTCAAGAGATAGGAATCGTAAAAAAAATAAAAATAAAAAAAAAAAAAGCACACAGAGGCGAGCCTGAGTGGGGAAAAACATGCCAAAACCAGCCCCCTCTCAGATGTGGTGTCGCCTAACGCTGTACTACACTATGCAAAGAAAGCTTTGACAGCTTTATGCATGCAGTTTCTGAGTCGTCGTTTGATAAGCTGAGTAAGAGCGTGCTTTAGAATATTAGAGGGTGGTTTACACCTGCTTATAAAAATACACAATGTATGTGGCACTGCACTTTACACCATCTATGTGGACGTCTGAATATCTGTGTGATTTTTATTTTTCAGTTTTTCAAATTCGCACTGTTATCAGAAACACTGCTGTAAGGACACTCAAACCCAGGTGCACACACTTAAAGCCATGATGCATTAAAGGACCAATCCAAAGCTTTGGAAATAATGAAATGATGTCAGCAGATAACAGTAAAGTTTAGTAGTATGTTACCATATTTGATTGAATATCTATAAATGTGTTCTTTTTCTCCGTCTGTCACACAGACACACAAAATTAGCTGTGTTTTGTAACAGGACGTTGCATTTACATGATAATTGACAATGTGACTATGAAAACATCCCTAATATATGCCCCCAAAACCTAATATCAGTACACACACATATTCGTACATACACACACCTGCCCTCTGTCAATTGTCCTTCCTGTGCGAACAGCAGTGCAGAGAAAACAGACAGACAGATGGACCGACTCCTTTACTTCTACACCTCCCAGTGAGAGAACAGATGAGATGAGGGAGGAGAAGAGGAGAGAAAAAATAACCCAAAAGGGGAAACAATGACTTTCTGGGATAAAATAAACCAGCCTTACATAGGAAACTCCCAACATGGATGTCCTTTGATTGATTTAAAGTCAGAGGTGTGCTTACTAAAGCTTGAAGAGTAAAGGACTGGTGCTGTGCCAAAACAACTGAACTAAATACATTTATCAAGTCCATGACATAAAACACTCCTACCGTGGAACATTTGTGGATTAAGTGACAAATGTGACCTTGTCGGTGAAATATTTGTCAAGTTCGTTACGTGTTCCAGCTAAAACTCTACACCCCGGTACAGGCTAAGATTTTACCGTAGTATAAACCAGTCAGTCGGCGGAAACAGTGAAATTTGGATAACCACCACCACCATCAAGAAATTTGCGATGACACAGCAAATTATTGTCATCAAGCAATAACATTTCAGTAGATGCAATAATCTATTGTTTTTATACAGAGTAATGCACATTAATGTGATTGTTTCATGGTAAAAGAAAAAAAAAAAAGGTGCTTAAAGAGTATTTCTCATTAAATTTATGAGGACTTCTGTCTACTTGTCTTTCCTGTAAAAATACGGCGTGCTGTATTCCCAGTTCATCATGGGTCAATCATGTTGCGTGTATGATGAAGACAGAAGGTAGTGAACCTTGAATAACCCTGCACAGCAAGCCACACCCCTTTCCATTCCTTTCCTATCCTTTCTTCTCCTTTCCTCCCCTCTCCTCTCCTCAGAGCCAGCTGGAAACAATCCAGTCATGACCAACTGGTCCATTACCACTAACCGACTCCAATTATGACTCTGTATCAGAGATGCCTTTTACTGCACTGCCGAACTGGCTGCGTGTTTCTGTGAAGGGCAAGGAAGTGGATGTTCTCTTAATCTTTATTACCCTTAAATTATTTTCTACATTGTAAACTACGAGTGAACGGATAATGTTTTGGCTGCATAAGAGATGAGACCATTTTAGTAAATTATTTGTCGCAGTAATGTACAGTTGTTAGGAACAAGATTGCAGGGAGGACAGTTGAATAATAGGGAAACACATTTTACCTGAGGTCATGGAGGGAACCAATAGGACCACTGCTGCAGGGAACGTTAGCAGAACGGCCATGTTAATGAAATGGACCAGAAATCCCACAAGTTCACTGAATGAACCCTGTGTCCAAAAAACAAACAAACATAGGAACAGCAGGAGTTTTTTATCTTAACAATGTATCCATTTCTACAAAACTGCCTCCGTTTTGGTCGCATGCTTTTAGCCTTGGGTATTTACTGGTGACCTAATTCTAAAACACTGCCAATTATTACAGAAACTAAATGTTTTAACCATTTTTTACTTCTCACCCCACCACAGATCACATTTTAAGTTATTCTGGCCTAGTTAAGTTAAAAAACAACAAAAAACTGTTCCAATTCGTGCCAAACAGGCAGAGCATAACTGAATGTGGCCCAAATGTAGATGGTGAAACTAATTTCTCATTTTACCATTTCACATTTGCAGATGCAACTGGGGAGGGTCAGCTCCACAGTCAGCTTTAGAGAACAGTTTTAGGAAAATAATCCCACCCGAGACTTGGGAAAGTGCTCTGAATTCAGCAGTCCGGTTAAAATTCACACTGCTCTCACGTTTTAGTGCAAGCAGGGTTTCTCTCCTCACCTTCGACAGCTGCCTTTCGGTATAGAGAGCCACCAGAATGAACACATTGGACACTGTCGGACAAAATGAACCATGTCAGTGCTGATGCTCAGTGATCATTTTTTCAGCCTGTATTTACACTAGGGAGCTCATGAACTGAAGACATTTTGGCTCCGAAAACACTGGTATTCAGCAGAACTCCATCATTTTAGTCAGTGACTTCTACGTTTTAAAAGCAGTGCTGAGAGAATATACCAATTTCATGTTTTGACTGAACATTTCCTGAAACCTGAGCAACATGGTGTCTCTCACACACAGACACACACAGACTTTCACATGATTAAATAGCAACACCTGATGAAAGAAATGAACCGGCAATAACAGAGCATATGTGTTTCACAGCATATACCAACTGCTAGACAGCTGAGTGACTAGACCAGTCGATGTGTGTGGAAAAGCTCTCTCACACACACACACACACACACACACACACACACACACACACACACACACACACACAAAGAATCACATCATTTTTTTATTCTTTTGTTTCCTGCACAGTATATCCATCTCCATATTCAGTGTCTGCTGCTCTTTTGACAACTTGTATGATGTGGAGGTTATCAAATAAATGAGTGTACTTTAAACTGTTTACTTGAATATGTAAGATCAAAAAGGCCATGGAGCAAATGACTGTGACAGAAAAATCCCAAGTGAAATAATCAAGTAACATAATCAAGAAGATTCTTTAGTGAAGCTTTAGAAAATAAAATAAAATAAAAAAAGAAGATATTCTACAGTATGATTTCATATCAACACTTCAGAAAGACAGGTCTAATTTTGGGATGTATGGTACTGTGCAAAAGTCTTGAGCAACACCTCATTTCTTTTTTACTTTGCTTCCAAGGAACTAGACTTCTTGTAATTTTTAAAGTGGTGTTGAGCAATAGTTCTCAAGGCTTTCTGAGAGTCTTTGAAAGTTTTCCTTTGGATACTGTCTGCTTTTTCACTCCTTTTCAGTCCATCAGAGGAAGGTTATTCTTTTTTTGTTTATACCGTAAAAAAGCACCTAACTCAAGGGCTAAACCAGTGTTGTTTCAACATAGAAAAATTAGAAAAATTATATCTTTAGGCCTTTTATTACTTGCAGCCTCTCACAAAAATCACACCATTTGTTCCAATTTTATTAGGTGAAACTATGCAAAATTACAAGGATAACATGGTTTAACAGGCATAACATAATATTTTTGCAGCAACGAGGTGATTCCCAAAGAGCTACCAACCAAAACCTTGGATGATATACAGTGTTTCATATCACTTACATCAGATGAAAATCTACTTCTGTCTCTGCATCTACCTGTATCAATATCTGTTTCAGTATCTAAAAGTTATGTTAAGAAATGGGGAAAAAAAAACATCCAGCAAAGACTTGACAGAGGACCTGCGAGGTACATCTGGACCTTCAGATAATCCATCTGTTTGTTGAAGCCTCAGAAATGGTTTCAGTGGGAGGGTGACCATCAAGAAGACATTTTTAAGGAGGGAAATGGGGAGAAATGGCTGAGGTATGACAAATTACACAAGAACTGGACTGAAAATTGGTGACAATGGGGTTTACGGAGCGATGAGTCCAAATGTAAATTTTCTGGTTCAAATTGTTGTCAGTATGTACAGATCAGGACCAAGGTACATCACTGACTGTCTATAGCAGGGGTAGGCAACTCCAGGCCTCAAGTGCCAGTGTCCTGCAGGTTTTAGATCACACCCTGGGTTAACACATCTGAATCAAATGATTAGTTCATTACCAGGCCTCTGGAGAACTTCAAGAAATGCTGAGGAGTCATTTAGCCCTTTAAATCAGCTGTGATGGATCATGGACACATCTAAAACGTCCAGGACACCCGAACTCGAGGCCTGGAGTTGCCTACCCCTGGTCTATAGTCATAATACAGAGGAGGCTCTGTCATGGTTTGGGGCTGCATTTCAGCCAGTGGTGGAGACAATGATCCAAAACACAAAATGAAACAATATCAATCATGGACTGGCCTCCTCAGAGCTCAGACCTCAACATTACTGAAGCAGTGTGGGATCATCTTGACAGAAAACTGAATAAAGGGCAGCCAACATCCACAGACGAGCTCTGAATGGACTTCAACAAATCTGGAGAACTATTCCTGAAGACTACTTAAAGAAATGACAAGAAATCTTGTCTAAGAGAGTTCAGGCAATGATGAAGATCACGTTGGTCATGCTAAAATATTGACTTTCAAGCTTGTTAGAATTGTATAAACTCTGTTTTTGGGGGGGTTCATCATGTGATCATCAACAGTGTCACCCTTGATAACTGCCATTACGAATCAATGTCTTTAGTCATTCAGTCACATGGTTGTTTTCGAGTTCGTGGTATACACGGCACATCAAAGACAGGAAGGAGGAAATGCGCTGCAGGCACAGCAGAGTCTATACAGTAAGATTACTGTGCACAAACGAAAGCAATTAATCAGCCTGTAGGCATCACTTCATCAGACCTCACAATACACTCCCATTATACTCATCTTTAAATGCACCTATAGGAAGGAAAAAGAAAAGTATGGAGTCAGGAAACCTGTCTTCTAACTAGGCTGCGTTTAACATAAGGACAACTCACGCTTTCAGCAAATATGCAAAGGAGAGTGTCGCAAAGGATAACACAGCAAATTTTACAAAGTACTGTGAGTGTATCAAGATCATTGGTGCTAAATTATAAAAAAGTTAAACAATTTAATACATTTAAATAAGGATCTTTATTGCTAGGACAGTTTTCTTTGACAATTTTATTATTGCCATCGTTGTCGTTGTATAATAATAAGAACAATTCACAGAATAAGAGACTTTTAAATGCAAAGAAGAGAAACCAGACAAAAGAACATCTGAGAAGAGCCCAAATCTTATTCCCTACTGCTTTTTCTTTTGCAAAGCATCTGTTGAGCCTCTTTGCCAAATACCAACTACTGTATTGTGCCCAAACTGCATGAAACTGGAACAAACAACTCAATTTAGCACCTGTTAGACACACAAACCTTTTATCTGGTGCCTTCAGGTATATATTGTAGAAGCAATGCACTTACTACAGCAAAGTAAAATAACATTTATCACTCACAATAGAGTTTTCTTAATGTCTAACTTTCTTTCCAAAGTTTGCCCATTTTGCTGGTAGGCTTCATGAAGTGTAGACTGTGTTTGTGTGTGTGGGAGTGTGCGTAAGTTACTGCAGTGACTCTCTGAATGCCCTCGGGGGATAGGCTGCTTTACAGTCCATGCCACTGTAAACAGACTCCCATCCTCACCTGCCTCTTACCTATTGTCTGTGCAGTCATTTGCCTTAACTCCATCCATTTCTCTCCTCCTCCCTCCCTTTCCCTTCTCCGGTCCTGAGTTGATGCAGCACTTTACTCCACCACTCTCCTGCTCTTTCTACCCCGTCTCTCTCTGCCTGTTCTTGTCCTGTTTTCCAACCATCTATACAAATTTACTTACTTAACTTGGCTTCCATTAAATCCTTCCTCCTTACTTCTCTTCTTCATCCCTCTCTCTTACTCCCTCCTCCTCTCTGCAGGAGAACACCAGTATGCAGTATATAGGGCAGGTGAGTGTCCCTCTAGAGACACTGAAAGCTGCACTACTGCAGACCTTCACTGCAATATACTATAAAAGTAAGTACTCGGAAAACAAAAAAACTGCATGTGTTCGTCTTATAGCAGGGTAGGCCTTAAAGGAAGTGGCTCTATAATCAGTTTTAAATGTTTTTTCCACCTAGTTTTCTGAAACGTTCTTGCTAGGTCGTTCGCAAATCGCAACGAATTACTGAAACATAAAAGAAAATACAGTACATAAGGCAAAAACAGAGTCTGTATAATTCTAACAAGCTTGAAAGTCAATATTTTGTTTATTCTTTATCATTTTTATTCCTCTCTTAAACAAGAGTCCTTTCAATTTCTTTAAGCAGTCATTCAGGAATAGTTCTCCAGGCTTCTTGAGGACATTCAAAGCTCTTGAACGTTAGCTGCCTTTTGTTTTAAAATTGTTCCGTTGTGTGTTTGACTGCTCTGGCAGTGGGTTTGGAATCATTCTCATGGTGAAAACAATGAAGCTGTTGCCAATCAGACACTTTCACAATGGTACTGCATGGTGGATGATAATCTGGTGGTACGGTACTCTTCTGTATACAGAAATCTATCAAGATCCCCAACACCACTGACTGAATTCAGCCCCAAACAATCACAGAGCCTCTACTGTGTTTTACAGATGGCTGCAGACACTCGCTGTTGTACCTCTCTCCTTACCTTCTCCACACATAGTGATAATAATTTAAGCCAATCCATTAGTTCGTTGCCACTGATTTTCTATCCAGTTCTTGTGCAATGTGGCGTGCCACAGCCTTGTCTCCCAGTTTCTCCTCCTTATGACTGACTTCTTGGCAGACACCCTTCCCGTGAGACCTTTTCTAATAAGCAGTAGATCAATAAACTTAAGGTCCAGATGGATCTATCAGTTTCTGTTTTTGTCCTATAGCTTAAGGGCAAGACTTTCAAACATTGTTCATTTACTGTAGGTAACTTTTTTTGCATGACCTGACATTTACACTTACATATCACACTTTTGTCCCCCACTTGTTTTGGTGATAGGATGTTATTACGTTTCTAAGGATTTTATTTTAAAACTGGTTCTTTGCTAAATTAAAACTTTCCCCAGAACATGTTCAGGTACAAGGAGTGGACTGAAAATGAGTGAAAAAAGTCACCAACCTTCATACAACCTGGAATACTACTGCTTAAGATCACTTAAAATTGGTCATCCTGGTCTTGGTTATACAAGCATTTCGTGCACGTTTTGTAGCTGAGATTTTTATGTTTTTTTAAACCCAGAAATAATATAATCAGTGTAAAATAATATTGAATCATTTCCATTATTTTGAAGTGTTACACAGAAAATATACCTACCAATCACTAGGCAAGCTGCTGGCCAGCTGTAGGGATCATTCAGAAACAAGGAAACCACCTGAACAGGATCGACCAAAACACCGTACCTAAAAAAACAAAACAAAGAACAATGGCCAAAAGAAAAGCCAGGATCCAAATTAAGACAGGTGTGTTTTTACAGATCTGAGCTTCAATGTAAGTAACAACTGATGCAGCAGAAAACTGAGCGCTGGCTCAGTTTTCTGCTTCATATATAATATTTTCCACAGCAGTTATTTTAACTTCTGAGAGGAAAAAAACCCCACAAGTGTAACAAATGACATTATGACGAGATGAGTTACATGAACCTCGTGTCACATTTAAAACACCACCCTCATTAATGTTAAGAATGGCACATTGGGTAAAAGTAGTCCATGAAGCCTTTTGAAATAATAGCTAATAAAACATTCTCACCGTAAGAGGTTTTCTAAGAAGAGGCGCGCGTTGCTCAGTACCTGTAACAAAAAGACAGACAATGATAAATATTTCTTGCACAACAATCCTCCTTACACTGTTCTCCACATGTACATTTATTTCATGGTTCTCATTTTAAAGCCTTCAGCTTTAATTGAATTGCCTCATCGTTCTGTATCACTCTCTCCTCCATGGTCGTCTCCTTCTCTTGCTCCCCTCTTTTGCACTCCTTGCTGTATCCTGTCCGTTTGCTCTCCTCAGCTAAATGGATTGTAATATCTTATTACCAAACACAAAATCTCTGGGTCTGTCAGAATGAAGGAAAAACCTCCTATAATGAACACAATGATTTGTTGGATTAGCGGGGTTCACCACCTGAATCTCCTCGTTTCCTGCTATAATTGGCCCATTCTCCCAAGCACGGGCGAGAAAGAACTGCAAAATGTGCTAAGCTTGACACTAACAGGTCAGTTATTTTATGGTGGATGTACACTATTCGACATCTCTAGAAAATACACATTAGCTAGTTAGCTCATCTGTTCACACTTCATCACAATGCAGTTAGCGTTGCAACGCAAAATAACAAATGTGATCTTCATCGTGTGAACAGTTTCAATGAAGAACTGTTTGAGGTTTCACTAAAAATCTGACCAATACTCTTGGAGAAGCAGCCATTCTTGTGAATGGGGAATAGATGAACAACAGATTCCTGACTATGGCTAAAGCTCATAGGGTTTTTTTTATTGATGAGTGAAAAATTATCTGCCTGAACTATTTAACTTGAACAAAATACTTTAGAGTCTTGTGTGTCTGTGTGTGTGTCTGTGGTAAAGCTGCTGAGCCCCGCCTGAGAGGAAACTCTGCACAAAGAGGAAATGAGTGGACAGAAGCAGCACAACAGTAATGACAGCAAAACATGACTCTGCATATTTTTTTCCTCTTCACTTGGATGAAATGCAGTGAAAACTCTGCATTTTATCAGGATGAATGTTGGCTGAAACGCTGGTGACATTTTTATACAATCACCATTAGTACAAACAAGGGTCAGCAGAAGTGTCGGAGGTCATGCCCATATATCAGAAGATAAGTTAATCAGGGTCTTAATCCGGACAATCGTTTTGTTTACTATTTAATGCAATATTGAATTATCTCAGTGTATTAGTCTATGACAGTGGATGGTCTGTATCACAAAAGTCCATTACTATCTATACTAATTGCTAAACTGATATTAAGTCATATGCAATAAAATAAAATTTATCTTACTGAAAAAAATCAATAATCAAAAAGTCTAATTACAGGAAGTGTGGTTAGACAGATTGTTCTACTAATAGCTTGGAGGTGTCCACCTGACAGGCCTGTACTGCGAAGCAGGATATCATTGTATACAGGTCAGTTGGGGGCTAACACTGGGTTTTTGTATTATGAAGGTGGTTCCCATCTTACTGGGGTACATCACCGTGGTAACTTATGCTGCAACCCTAACACCATCGGGGCTGCAGCTGAAAGCAAGCTGATAACCAGTTTTCTTTCGACTGCTTATCCTGACTTCCATTTACTTCCATGTACATTGTAATCATAAAAATCATAATTTCATACAATACATCTGTCAAAAACACAAAAACTGACAATTACACCCACACTAAGAGCTGCTGGAATTAAAATTAAAGAAAAAACATGAGTGGGAAATAGAGATGGGAAAGACGCTTGGCTTTATGTCACTGGATACATGTTGGCCAAGTTTGGAAATTCATTGAAATATCAACAAAAATATCATCTTATGTGCTCAAACAACAAAACAAGATTGTCAAATGCTTTTTTTTTAGGATTTTCATGGTAACACATGTTTCCTTTTGTCTGTGTCTTACCAGCATTACCACACACCAGTTGAGGACTCCTCTGTAGTTTTTATAACCACTGGCTGAACTCAGCAGGGACTCCTGTGTCTTGTGACAGTTACTGAAATAAATCAGATGGATACAGTAAATGAGTGAGACAATTAAAAATGAATGTATTTATGTTGCATTGATTTTCATTCGAACTCTAGCTGCAACAATAGGACAAAGTTAAATACACAGTGAGATGCGCTAGGAGCTCTGTGAAGGTTTTTATAGTCCTGCAACAAACATGTCCTGTGTAAAACTAAGTAAAACCCAATCAACAGCTTGTAGAACCACCTTTAGAAACAAGAGCTTTAAGTAATCACTTCCTGTCTGTTTTTATTATTATCTCACATCACTGTGGGGAAATTTTGTCCCACTCTTCTTTACAGCACTGCTTCAATTGCTTGAGGTTTGTAGACATTCATATGTGCACAGATCTCTTTTACCGATGGCTGTAGACACTCACTGTTGTGCATCTCTCCTGACCTCCTCTGTACATACTGGTGATAATTTGAATTTCAAATTTGGATTCATCACTTAATTGAAACTGTTGCCACTGATTTTCAATGGAGTTCTTGTGTAGTTTGGCATTCCTCAGACTTTTATCCTCCCTGTTTCCCTATATTAAAAACTGCTTTTTGACTACACCCTTCCACCCAGGCCATTTCTGATGAGGCTTCAGCAATCAGCAATATAAACGAATATGCGAAACTTTTGCAAACCAAACAGTGTTATATCGGCTGTTTGTGTTACATAACTGGTCTGAGAAGATTAAGTTAATTCACGCCTATTCATAGGGTTCCCCTTTACACAGCCTCCCACGAAACAACCCACATTGTGCATTTTATTTATTGGAGACACATATACCCGATCTTAAAGTTCCTGGAACTCGGCCCAGCAGCACTAAAGAAGAGCGGGAGTGTAAGTATGAATGAATGAGTGACAACTGTGGAAAAATAAACAGGCTCTGGTCCAGATCGTCCCCCCACGACCCTGAACCAAGTCGTTACCGACAATGAATAACAAGGACACGTATCTAGCATTAAGAAACGCTAGATACAACATTAGCCGTTAGCTACGGGCAGCATGTTGTCATATCTTTCCTGAAGGAAAAACAAAAAACTCTTCCCACTTTCCTCAAACTGGGCAACACTTCAGTAAGTTTATCCAGCTCACCTCAACATGTCACTTATATCATTCCTGCGTTTCTTCTTATCGTTCTTCGTTTTATTCCGGCTTATTTCCAGTGAATGGTCATGTTTGTTATGTTCATTTTCAAAGCTAATGTCTGCGGCCACCAAGCTCTGACGATCCCCTTCAAACCTCCTGTTCATCGGCTGGGGAGTCGCAGCTCTCGCCACTGCGAGAGTCGCTCTTCTCCTGTGGGTTAATGCTTCGGCTGGCTTGTAGTCACCCATGATGACAGAGAGACAGCGATGGTATAGAAAAACCAAGTAATAACTCACAGAAGTCCACTTCAACCGTTCACTGCGGATAATAGCATGCTTGTAGCAACGGTGACACCCAGGCGTAGTAGTACAGAGAAGGGGAAGTAAAAGGGTTGCAAAACAATCCGCCCAAAGCTCAGATTTCAGTACAGTTCACACACACACACAGAGGTAGGAGTGTATTCATAACGCTGATGGTGAAAGCACTGTAACTTGTTTGACTGTTGCACACTGTGTGGCAGGTGAGTCAGAGTCTACTCTGAGGGCTTAGGCGGTTCATGGAAGAGGCGTAATGAGCTATTATCCGGGTCCCAAACAGCATGTAAGCATGTTAGAGACAACACAGCGCAGAAATGCGGGGTTTGAGCAATAATAAAGACATGTGATGCATACTAAACGCCAGCAAGACGGAAGACCAGCAGAATAACAAGTTGACAAAATAGTCCATCAGTTCATTCCCATTCACCACTCTCGAGGCTTTATTATTAGAAGATGTTAATTAGAGGATCAGTGTAATTTTCTTGTAGTTCATGTTGGGCAATTAAAAGTTGAGTTCCAAAATAATTAAGTATCAGCTAAAGATGTAAATGAACTTTTATTGCAAGTTTAAGTGCCAAACACGCGGCTGAGGTTGATTAATTTCAAGCCAGGGGTGTCATGTTTTGATGGGCATTTGGATTAAGAGTAGACTAAGCAAGTGTCTAGAAATTCATTTTGAGAAGGGGCTGGCGAGGTGGGACAATAGCATCCACATCTATCTATCTATCTATCTATCTTTAATTATAGTTATTTAGTCTTCTGTTTATTATGGTGATTTTTTGCTTTCTGCTAGCTATGTCTTGCTTGATCCCGTTCTATCCCCATGTTGGTCTGTGCCCTCTTTTAAGTGTATTCAGTTTCTTGCCAGATGTTTCCACTTTGCCCTATTCCCTTTTGTTTAGACAACCGTTTGATTGTCTGTATTCCTTGTTGCGTTGTCCCCTCATACCCGTTGTGTATGTGGTAGCTCTGACCTGGCTCTGTGTTTATTTTTGTGTCTTTGTAAATTAGCAGTAATAAAAGTCAAATGCTTTCATGTCCTGTCTCCTGCATCCTGTACTATGAGTCCAAATCCTTCCTTCAGCACAGCGATACATGCTAAGAGTTAGACTGTATGATGAACAGAAACCAGAGAATCAGCACTGGTTCTGGTAAATGGACTGGTTCTTATATAGTGCTTTTCTACTCTACTTGAGCACTCACTTTATACAACATGCCTCATAAACCGATCCATATGAGTACTTTTTTCTACACCTGAGTGCTTTCTAACTAACATTTACACACATTCATACTCCAAAGCTGTGCCTGTATGGTGTCCATCTGTGTGATGAACTAAACTACTTCTGCCAAGGACAGACCCATGTGAAGGCTGAATGCTGAGTTTACCGCTAAAATCATCAATGTCAATGGGGAACTACAACAGTAAAATTAAACAATACTTCAGCGCAGTTGTTTCTGTGGTAAACTAGGATTGAGTAACTTCAAAGAAACACAGCTTGCAACATGTACAAGCTCAGCTGTGAAACCAGAGTGCACAAGACCCCTAATGCAACTTTTAAGAACCAAAGAAAGAGCGAGTGAAAATCAAAGGCATTAACCAATTTAATTGGACCGTGGAGAACAGTTCATTTAACCATGTCTGTGCCATATGGGTGAAAAAAGTGCTGTGATTGACTATAAAATGAAGAAGCACTGAATAAGTGCAGCCATGCTTTCTTTTATTAAATACAGTGGCTAGATGATTCCTTTGGGTGTCCAAAGCCTATCCATAGGCATGCCATTGTTTCAAGCTGTGGTTGTTAAAGTGATGAATATCTCTTTTCAGTGATGTGGCACTGATGCCTAATCTAGAACCGGTTTCACGCATTCCCACTGGGAAAAAAATGCCAAAAGGCTGCAACTTGCCACCGACACCACAAAATAGCTGGGCCAGAAGTTGTAGCCACTTATATCAGGGTGCAAGTGATCAAGTGCTTCTGTCCACACTGATTTTTTTATGTCATGGAAACTGCACCAACTTTTCTTGTACCCTGTAAGTTACTGTACTCTTGGTGTAAAAGACTGTTTGAAAGCTTTTTTTTTAATGAGAATGCCCTTTCTGTCTGTTCTAGTTCAGTGTGTTTATCCATACTAAGGTGAGAGCTGATCAGTGGCATTGATTCGGCTTTATCAGTCCTTAAGGTTGTCTTTTAGAGTAATGAGCCCGCCTGCAGTTGTCGGGATAAGAGACCTTGGGGAAAGATCAATAAGAAACTTATGACTAATTGTTTTAACTCTCAAACTCCTGGACGAATTTGTCATAGACCTTTTTTTTTCCCTTGGAGTGACTGTAAAAATATCAAAAGCTGCCCTGTTTGTGGATTATAAGCACAAATCCCCATTGCTTCCACTGAGTGTCTTTCCTAATGACTTGTAATAATCTTCCACGGGGAATGCTCTTTCTAAGGGGACATCTCAACAGTCTTAGAAAGTCCACAGCCTTTTCTATCAGCCTGTCATATAAACCAGTAGAGGGAGTCCAAGGCTTTAATCCCATCTCTGTACTGTGGTGAGTCAGAAGCTTATTTGAGGGTTCCAGTTTAAGGCTGAGATTTGTGAAAACGTACATGTTAAACTCAGCACTAAAATATCAATTTTATGCTGTGTTAGTGAGTCAAACAGTATTTGTTTATTCAAAATGCATGAATGATTGTAAGAGAGATGATTTTTTTCCCCTTCTTGAAACATCACAAGGAGGGCTTTGTAAGCATGGTGAGAAATATGGAACTTGTTTAGCTTGGACCCAATGCCCTCTCTTTCCTGTAGTGCACTGAAGCCACTCTGTTGCGTGCAAGTTGACTAATGCTACACAGATCAAGTTATTTTTGATAACAGCCAGCCATTTAAAATTTAGAGAATAAGAGGTTTTATCCATGAATTATTCATGGTTTCTGTAGGGCCCTGAAAAACTCAGAGCTGAGAGAGGCAGGTAGAAACACAACAAATTTCTCCTCTCAATGACTCTCTTCTTGTTCTTGTCTTGCTATAGAAGCATGATTATTTTTAATCTCTTATCTATCTGAATATGAAAAATAAACCCATGTGCAACATTTTGGACTCCAAAAAAAACCAAACAAGGGCTTTAATGTGCTTCTGGGAGTTGGGGCTCTTTGCAGATTTTTCGTCAACATGAACTTCACTCCTTCATGGGCATTGCACAGGGGAATTATACTGAATCAGAAAAAAGCATTTTCTAAATTGTTGCAAGCAAGTTGGAGGCACACTATAATCTAAAGTGTTGTTTGTTGCTGCTTCAACGTTTCCTTAACTGGACAAGGTAGAATGAGCCTTTCCAAGACCATTAAAGTGCCCCAAAGTAGAAATAGCAGGAAAATGGAGTCCACATGCTCTTGGTTATATCTACCTAGACATGCTCTCTCTTGCATCACATCCATCAAATGTTTACATCAAGCTCTTTAACCATTCTGGTGCTTGCTTAAAGGTACATGGAAAAGGAAGAGTGAAACACTGTGTGACTTGGAGGGGAAAAAAGAAACGGTATAAGGTGATAGGTATGGAGATAGATGATAAATTTAGAGACAAGGGAACAAGAGAGAAAGGAGATGGGTGGATATAAAGAGAGAGAGGAATTTCACTTACTACATACTGTATCTCTCGTTCTCTCTCTCCCTTCATCTGGAGAGGCAGAGGGAGCAAAAGATAGTGTTTGCCCTTGCAGGTTGTAATGAAGCTGTGGAAGGATAGATGACTCACTTTAACACAGGCAGAAGAGAAATACACAATCCAACATCACTCAGCTGACCTGAGAGTGTTTGTGTGTGGGTGCATTTAATATGAGATCCTGTGTATTTGTGGTGGTGATGGTAGGAGTGTGGCCAGATTGTGTGCGTGTGTGTGACAATAGAGACTAATGCTGATTGCATGGGAGACTGAATGGAGTGATAAAGGTGTCATTAGATAGACAGACAAAGATAGAGAGTGGATGTGTTCCATGGTTGGAGTGTGCACATAGCCCTTGTGTGTGTGAGTTGTTTTTTTTTTTTACCATGCAGTATAACTCTGTGTGCCGATACAACACGGGCATTTTTCTGCGTGTAAGTTCAGTGTTTTTTGCAAGTGCCAGCATAAGCATGCACCTGCAAGTGTGTTTCTGTATGAACGCGCTTGTGTGTCTGTACGAGCGACTGCATCATAGAGAGACAGATAGAGGCGTCACCACGCAGTTAGAGGGCTTGGCGCCACGTCAGCACTTCTGCAGTTCAGCCAAGGACTCGTGCACACTTTGTCCATCCGTCTCCACAATTCTGATGGAGGGAAAGGGAGAGGGGGAGAGAGAGGAAGAGGGAAAAGATGAATGCACTGTCTAATAGATGGCTGGAATCGGGAAGAGAATATGAAATGGGTGGATGAAGGAATGACTGATTCCAAACTTTGTTTGCTCAAATACCTTGCAATAGATCCGCTTGTACCACTGCCAAACAAGCCGCGCCCTTTTCTGACCCAATCATAGTCCAGCTTAATTTTTTTAGCCATTGAAGGATGCTGAGTTACTGAGTACTTAGTTCACCTTTTCCTGTAGAAAAATGAACCCTTCTTGCTGACAGAGTCTTTGCTTTTTGGGGTTTTCTATAGTTTCATAACCTTGCTATGATAGTCAGAACCACAGAGTAAGAGCTCTTGTTCTTTAAAGAAGCCTTCTTCATAGAGTCACAACACACTAACAGTTGTTTCATCTTTAGATAGCTACTGTATTTTATTCTTAGTACATACTAGCTTATGTTACTATTACTGCAGAAACATGAAATCTCCTACCTGAGAACTGTGACCCTGACTCTTTGGATGTTTATTCAGTTCACTTCAATTTTATTTAAATAGCGGCAAATCACAACAAGGGGCTTTATATTGTAAGATAAAGACCCTGCAATAATACATTTGTGTGAGTTATTGGTAGTGGATGGGATGCAATCCTGATCAGTCTTAGGTGTAACAGGGATTTAAACTGTGTGAAATATCATAACTAATCATAACTGCAAATCCCTCTGAAACGCGGGACAGTAACCTATGCCGTAACCTGATGTGTGCCTTCCTGGATGTAGGCCATATTGTGTAGTTACTCAACCTAGCTTTTTTGCATCT